TGCTATGAAGTAACCAAAACCAGAAAAGCAAAATTCAATTGGTATCAACGGTAAGGGTTATGGCTATGGCGTTAATGCATGTCACGAGTAATCAATTACATTGTACCCCACATGTTGTAACTTGAAGGGGTTGAAATAATACACGCGTTTTCATTTCAGTAGTTTATTTCACAACGGATAACTTAAGACTAACAAAAAGGAATGATGAATGACAGATCATAAATATCAATAGAGTTGCCAATACTTATTAATATAAAATGGGGATATAACACCACAAGATTGGAAAAGAAACCAGTAAAAAAAGTCTTTAAGTCGGTTGGGCTGACTTTATGATACCCTACACCACTTTGCTAATTTAGTAGAGCTCCACATAACAATTAAAAGCTTTTATGGTAGAATTCAATCATACACGCTATTATTATAATTATAATTTAAAGTTCAAAAGACTAAACATGCCGAAGCATTTGTATCTTTTAAATTCGGACTTGTATTGCCCATTTGATATATATATGGGAGCTATATCCAAATCTGAACCGATCTCGATAAAATTTGGCAAAGATATTTTTGAGCTGTTTTTTATATTTTTTCTTGAATATCGTTGTTACGGAGTGCATATTACTGTGGGTAACAAATATAAAAAATCGGATGAACAATATATATGAGAGCTATAGCTATATCTGAACCGATTTTCAATCCAAATTTGACATACTAGCTTCTAGACTCAATTCGGTCGTAAGTGCCAAATTCCATCCCATTTGGTCACAATGAAAGATAAATCGGACAAAGTTATATATGGGAGATATATCCAAATCCGAACCGATCTCGATAAAATTTAGCAAAGGTATTTCTAAACTGTATTTGATATATTTCCCCAAACATTGTTCTTACAGAGTGCACATTATGGCTGCGGAAGACTAAAATAACGAATCGGATGAACAGTATATATTGGAGCAATAGCTATATCTGAACCGATTTCGATCAAATTTGGCATACATATTTTCATGCCTAATTTGGTTGTATGTGCAAAATTCAATACTATTCGAGCTGATATTACACGTTTGGTGCACAATAAAAGGCAAACCGGACGAAGATATATATGGGAGCTACATCTAAATTTTTACCGATTATCTCCAATTTCAATAGGGTTCGTCCTTGGGCCAAACAAATGACTTGTGCAAAATTTCATCTGGATCGGGCAATAAATGCGACCTGTACTTTGTTTACAAAAATACATGGACAGACGGACGGACGGACAGACGGACGGACGGACATGCATAAATCGACTCAGAATGTGATTCTATGCAGATCATCAAAAGGAACTATGGGTCTATCTCGTTTCCTTTTGCCTGTTACAAACATAATACCCTGACCACCTTGTGGTGTAGGGTATAAAAACACACAATTATTAGTCATAAGTTTTAAAGAGTGCATAATGTGATGTTTAACATACTGTACACACAAAAGCACATACATACCTACATGTGGTTTTTTATGCCTCATCCAAAAACCGCGATTTACTCTTAACACCGACATTAACAGTCATGCCCTGTTTTTCATTTAATTATCATAAAATTAAAAATTATTATCGCAAAACACAAAAACCCAAAATGAAAAGTAAAACAACAAATCAAAGCTGCTCCACTTGGATTTAGTATTGTTCTTCGGTTTCGGTTTGTGGCGACTATTTGAGATATTATGACGACCATATGGATGGAAGTCCTAAACATGTATGCGGGCCTAGCATGGATTTTTGATTCGATGATAGCGAGTCAAAAAAAAACAACGAAACTAAAACAAAAACATTGACCCACCACAGGCAACATTGAACAACCCATGCCCCCACCAAACGGAAGAATGTTGAATGTGAGCTGAGCCGGAATACTCTTTTCTCTAGTAGGAATGTTTACTCACAACAACATTTATTTGCTCCCCATTTATGCGTCGTACACTTGTATTGTTGGCACACACGCGAGCTGTAAACTCTTTGAAATAGTCGGCAGTGTTGTCAACTCTCTGAAGGCGAAAAAATCATTCGAAAAAGTAGAAATTTGACAATTAAGACCCTTAATCCTTCAAATGAAAACTTTTGAGCTAACATTACCAAAATTCGATTTTCGGTGAGTGAGAATCACTAGGAACCATTAAAACCGTTGGAGAAGGATGATAAATAATTATTTTTAAGAATTTTTCTCAAACAACAGCAAATGGCAAATATCGTAGTAACATTTTATACCCTCTATCATAAATAGTATGGAGCGAAGTTATGTTTGTCATTCCGTTTGTAACTGAAGGCATGAAAAGTTCCTCCCGGGCGAACTTACCGTAATTTACCATTTTATACCCTACACCACAAGGTGGTCAGAGTATTATGTCTTTGTGCATTTGTTTGTAACAGGCAAAAGGAAACGAGATAGACGATTCGATTTCGGCGATTTTAGCTATTATTTGTGATCACTTTTTAAGGCATGAGTTATTGAAAACTTTAAGCTGTTATTTGTGATCACTTTTTAAGGCATGAGTTATTGAAAACTTTAAAATGGCCATAACTCCTTAAATATTGAGTTTTCGGCGATTTTAGCTATTATTTGTGATCACTTTTTAAGGCATGAATTATTGAAAACTTTAAAATGGCCATAACTCCTTAAATATTGAGTTCCTTTTAATGATCTGCATCTGATGCAGAATCACATTCTGAGTCGATTTATGCATGTCCGTCCGTCCGTCTGTCCATGTATCTTTTTAAACAAAGTACAGCTCGCATTTATTGCCCTATCCAGATGAAATGTTTCACAAATAATTTATTTGGCCCAAGCACGAACTCTATTGAAATTGGAGATAATTCGTCAAAATTTAGATATAGCTCCCATATATATCTTCGTCCGATTTGCCTTTTATTGTGCACCAACCATGTAATATCAGCCCGAATTGTATGGAATGCATATTTGCATAAACACCCAAGTTAGGCCTGAAAATAAGTATGCCAAATTTAATCGAAATCGGTTTAGATATAGCTATAGCTCCCATATATATTGTTCATCCAATTCGTTATTTGTGTCCTCCGCAGCCGTAATATGCACTCTGTAACAACAATATTTGGGGAAATGTACCAAATGCAGCTCAGAAATACCTTTGCTAAATTTTATCGAGATCGGTTCAGATTTGGCTATAGCTTCCATATATAACTTCGTCCGATTTACCTTTTATTGTGCACTAAACATCTAATATTTGCCCAAATGGGATGGAATTTGGCACTACCAATTTGGTTCACAATTAACCTGAAATCGGATAATAATATATATAGGAGCTATATTCAAATCTGAACCAATCTCGATAAAATTTGGCAAATGTATTGCTGTTCTGTATTTGATATATTTCCGAGAATATTGTTGTTAGGGAGTGCATATTAAGGCTGTGTGGAACAAACATAACAAATCGGATGAACAATATATAAGAGAGCTATAGCTATATCTGAACCGATTTTCACAGAATTTAACATACAATGTGAGATGAAAAAACTGCAACCAACTTCAGACTGCTGTTATTTCTAAGCCACTCGTCCGACAGCTGTTAAAATTATGCCAGTAACAGCTCATTATATTCTTTACAAGCATACAAAAGCATTTCGGTGTGAATTCTCCAGAAAAAAGTTTTTTGTGATGGAATTCAAACGTGATCTTTATATTTGCCTGGAAACCACAAGTGGCTTTCGTTAGAGCACTCCAACATTTAAGTGTGAATAAATCTTTTGTGTCTCGTACCATCGCTCGTTAACGTGATACAGCTAGCGTAGCCCGACGTCAAGGATTTGGACGGAAGGGAAGAAAACAGCAACATCAGCAGAAATGGTTCGAAAAGTAAAGAAGCGACTTGACCGAAACCAGCGTCGCAGTGGCCGAAAAATGGCTCGAGAGCTGAACATATCGCAATATTCCACTTGGCAAATATTGAAAAATGAGTTCGGGGTAAAGCCATTGAAATTCTAAAAAGTGCAAAAACTTACACCACAACTGAGAGAAAATAGACTCAAAAGAGCTAAAGAGTTGTTTTGAGTCTTGGCCGAAAGTGGTGAACTACCGAATTTGGTTTTCTCCGATGAGAAAACATTCGTTGTCCAACAGTTTGTAAACAAACAAAATGATCGTGTTTACTTGCCAAAGAGGTCAGCTGAAAATGTGCACCTTCGGTTTGCCACCAGAAGTCCAGCGCCGGTCATGGTGATGGTGTGGGCCGACATAACAGCCGATGGACGCTCTCCGCTCGTATTTATCGACCGTGGCATCAGAATAAATGCCGAATATATTCGCGAAAATATTCTGGAGGGTGTATTAAAGCCTTGGGCACGCAATCATTTTGGCCGCAGACCTTGGACATTCTAACAGGACACAACACCATCGCACTCAGCAGGCGCCACCCAAGAATGGTTACAAAATGAGGTTCCCCGCTTCATTTCCAGCGCACAATGGCCACTAAAATCTCCGGAAGCCAATCCGTTGGACTATTGTGTCTGGACTATTTTGGAAATCCATGTTGACACTAAAAAATACCAATGTGTCGATCACCTCAAGCAAGCGCTTCGCCGGGAATGGGCCAAAATACCACAGAGCAACATTCGGGCAGCGTGTGACGGTTTCATTGGCCTTTTGAAGGCCATAATTCGTGCCAAAGGTGACGAATTCGAATAAATCTAAACTTATTCTAAAATTTGGTGCTATTTAGTTTTTTATCTCACCTTGTATAAATTTTGGCAAAGAGATGTTGTCAAACGAACATTTTGAAAAAAAAAACTGTAAACATATGATTGCATGACTTTACCTTCTTAATTCTACCACGACCATATGATTTATAAAGAAAAACCCATTTTGTACAATTCGAGGAAGAAATCACTAAATTAGCATCACTCACATTGTGCGGCATTCTTACTCAATGCGTTCTCTTTGGCGCTAGGGGGAGATATCAAAACACTCTCATTCACTCTCCCGCAATTGAACCTGAGGGTAATGGAGACGTTTTGCCGCAGTTCAAAACAAACCAAACAAGTGAAAGCACACACACTTCGCCGTGAAAATAGTCGCCAAATTCTAACGGAAATAAATTCAAAACGTGAATTAAATGTGGAGAAAACAACAAATAACAGAATCAAACGCACACCAACAATAACAACAACAAAACAGTCACCTAGATTTACGCATGACATAATTAATAAATTACTTGAATCAATGAAAAGAATAACTGCTACTGAAGGCATATCAAATATCGCCGCCGTTTGTACCGGCCGTATCAAATCAAGTCGCTGACTGGACGACTGACTGACTGGCTGGCTGCAGACCAACCAACTATTCTAAGCACCCATGTAAACCGGAAAACACCCAAGATCACAAAAACAACAGCAACAAGAACAGAAAAAAGACGACGAGTAATGAAGAACTTAAACACAAAAAAATCAAGAACCACAGCAACGGAGATATCTAAGTTCAGTTTAGTTGATTTGTTATCGTCTTTGGCGTTTATCGTTCTTCCTTCGTCGTGAAGTCGGGCTTTAATTGTTCCAAATACTTAGTGCCTGTTGTCACAACCCTCCCGGGGCAGAGAGATAACGTGACTTGAAGGGAGCCTAGCAGTCAGTCTGTCAGCCCGTCAAAGATGTCTGCGCCATTGGCTTATGATGGCACATATTTAAAATCTATTTCCGGTATTTCAAAAATCTGTTGCATGGTAGGTATGACTGGATAATGAAGCGGCACATGATGCTCTATGTGTGCGTGTGTGTTCTGTAAAAAAACAGATAAATTCCATAAGAGTTTTCTATTATTCATCCACTCGCCATCATCAGCATCATCGTCATCGAAAGATGATGACCAGCCAGACCCAGTGCGTTTTTTTATTTGTATCGGCTGACTCAAAGGTTTTTTCGTTGTTTCTGTCTTTTCTTTCGTTCCCGTTCACCCCATTCTTTTACTAATTGTTTCATTTAAAATGTTTAATGATTGCTATTTTACAGTGAAAGTGATTGAAAATTATGAACAGAGGAGATAACAAAGAACATAAAAACGAAGTAAAGACAACAGATTTAGAGTAGCATATCTTTTCAAATATTCTTTCAAAATGCAGGTGTAACTCGAAAAATTCAAATATGAAAAGTAATTGGTTAAATAGAAAGGCGATGGATAATCCAATCGCAGGGCATGATGTTGAGAAACAAGAGAAACCATATGAAGAATGTACAAGTCTGACATTGAAGCTTATTCGATTGGCTGCACCAGTCATACCAATTATACCTATACAAGGCTCACCAGAGTCACGGAAAAACTCCAATTTTTATACCATCCACCATACATTGTTTGGAGGATATATAAAGATTGTCATTCCGTTTGTAATTCATCGAAATATTCTTTTTAGTCCCAACAAGGTATATATATTTTTATTAAATCAGCATAAGACTTAGCTTAGGATTCCCAGCGGCATGTGATGGAAAACTAAAATTTAAATTAAAAACCAGTAAAGAAAGTCTTAAAGTCGGGCGGGGCCGACTTTATGATACCCTACACCACTTTGCTAATTTAGTAGAGCTCCGCATATCAATTAAAAGTTTTAATGGAGAATTCAATCATACACGCTATGATTATAATTTAAAGTTCAAAGGACTAAATATGCCGAAGCATTTGTATCCTTTAAATTCGGACTTGTATTGCGAATTAGGTGCACATATATTTTAAAATCGGATAAAGATATATATGGGAGCTATATTCAAATCTGAACCGATCTCGATAAAATTTGGCAAAGATATTTCTGAGCTGTATTTGATATATTTCCCTGAATATCGTTGTTACGGACTGCATATTACGGTTGTGGGTAACAAATCGGATGAACAGTATATATGGGAGCTATAGCTATATCTGAACCGATCTTCACCAAATTTGACATACTAGCTTCTAGACCCAATTCGGTCGTAAGTGCCAAATTTCATCCCATTTGGGCAAATATTAGACGTTTGGTGCACAATAAAAGGTAAATCGGACGAAGTTATATATGTATTTCTGAGCCGTATATGCTATATTTCCCCAAATATTGTTGCTAAAGAGTGCATATTACGGCTGCGGGGGACAAAAATAACAAATCGGATGAACAATATATATGGGAGCTATAGCTATATCTGAACCGATTCCGAATTCAAATTTGGCATACTTATTTTCAGGTCCAATCTTTGCCATACTATTCGGACCGATATTACACGTTTGGTGCACAATAAAAGGCAAATCGGACGAAGATATATATGGGAGCTATATCTAAATTTTGACCGATTATCTCCAATTTCAATAGGGTTCGTCCTTGGGCCAAACAAATGATTTGTGCAAAATTTCATCTGAATAGGGCAATAAATGCGAACTGTACTTTGTTTACAAAAATACATGGACAGACGGACAGGCGGACGGACGGACATGCATAAATTGACTCAGAATGTGATTGTGATGATGATCTGCATCAAAAGGAACTATGGGTCTATTTCGTTTCCTTTTGCCTCTTACAAACAAATGCACAAAGACATAATACTCCGACCACCTTGTGGTTTAGGGTATAAAAACGTCTTTTGTTTGCACTTCAAGTTCCATACAATTGTACCTCCCCAAAGTCGGTATTTTGACGTATTTTAGCGACAGTCTCTAACGGAATAGTTTAACAATTTGGGATATAAAGTTCATAGTGGGTTCTACCTTCTGTGTCCGGTTATTGTCTATACAATTGTACCTCTCTATATTTGGTATTTTGATGACTTTAACAAAAGTTTTTAACGGAATACTTCACAAATTATATATTTGGTCTACCTGTTATGACCTTTGCCTATACACTTCCACTTTTCCACAAAGTGAGATAAAAAAAACTGCAACAAAGTCAAATTCCATAATTTTTACATTTTTTTTTAAATTTTATTGAATGAAAGCAAACAAGTAAAAAAGCAGTAAGTTTGGCCGGGCCGCACTTTGAATATCCTCTACCATTTGGGACGAATTAGGAAATTTTCCAAAAAAATAAGATCCATTAAAAATTCCGTTAAAATCTTAAAAATGCCGAATATCGGAAGGTGCCCATATATGGGGGATATACGATATTGTGGACCTATATAGACAATTCTGCTTCAGGAGATAAAGTACTCACACGGAACCCTTTGTGTGCAATTACAGAAAATTCCATTGAAAAAATCATCAAATTGAAATTCATCAAAATACCCAACATCGGGTGGTTACCGTCGTATGGGAGCTATACGATATCGTGGACCTATAAAGACAATACTCTCCTAGGAGATAAAGTACTTAGAAGGAACTACTTGTGTTAATTTTCGGATAATTCAAGTGAAAAATGGGGCTAAAATCTTCAAAATACCGAATATCTGGGGGTACTGTTATATGCGGGCTATACTATATCGTGGACCTATTTAGACAATTCTCTATCAGTAGGTAAAGTACTCACAAAGAACCCCTTCTGTAGAATTTTAGACAATTCCATTGTAAAATGTGTCTAAAATAATCAAAATACCGAATACAGTGGGTACTGTTAAATGGGGGCTATACGATATCGTGGACCTATATAGATAATTCTCTTCCAAGGGATAAAGTACACACAAAGAACTCCTTGTGTGGTTTTCAGACAATTTCGTTGAAAAATGTGGCTAAAATCATCAAAATACAGAATATGGGGGGGGGGGGTTACGGTTATATGGGGGATATGCGATATCGATATATAGGAGGTAAAGTACTCATAAGGAACTCCTTGTGTGGAATTTCATACAATTCCATTGAAATATGTGGCTAAAATCATCAAAATACCGGATATCGGGGGGTACCGTTATATGGGGGATATACGATATCGTGGACCTATATAGACAATTCTCTTTTAGGAGGTAAAGTACTCATAAGGAAAGCTATATATAAGGCTATACGATATCGTTGACCGATATAGCAAATCTTCGAACTTGACCTGCCTGCAGACAAAAGAGATATCTGTACAAAATATTATCTTACCTTTCTATCTTAATTCGTTTTGACTGTAGCGTGATTACAACAGACGGACAGGGCTAAATCGTCTTAGAATTTTACGCTGATCAAGATTAACCATTTTTAAGTGACGCGTGCTGAGTGCGATGGTGCTGAGTTCTGTTGGAATGTCCAAGGTCTGCGATCAAAATGTTTGTGTGTCCAAGGTTTTAATACACCCTCTAGAATATTTTTACGATAATATTCGGCATTTATTCTGATGCCACGGTCGATTAATACGAGCGGAGAGCCACCATCGGCTGTTATGGCGGCCCACACCAAAACCATGGCCGGCGCTTGTGTTCTGGTGGCCAACCGAATGTTCACATTTTCAGCTGACCTCTTTGGCAAATAAACACGATCATTTTGTCTGTTTACAAACTGCTGGACAACGAATTTTTTTTCATCGAAGAAAACCAAATTCGGCAGTTCACCACTTTCGGCAAAGTGAAGCAACTCTTTAGCTCTTTTGAGTATATTTTCTTTCCGATGCGGTGTAAGTTCTCTGAAGTTGGCTGCAGTTTTTTTCATCTCACCCAGTATATGGCAACTAAAACCAAATCTGATTTTTTTTAACGAAAGTTTTTACCTTCTAAATTTCTGAAATACCAAACAAGCAACAACAACTTTTCCTCCCATTTTTATACCCTACACCAGACTGTGGCACACATTTCCTTTCCTTATCTGAATGGAATCACATTCTGAGTCGATTTGTGCATGTCCGTCCATCTGTCCCTGTATTTTTGTAAACAAAGTACAAATTGCAATTATTGCCCGATTGATATGAAATTTTCCACAAATCATTTGATTAGTCCGAGGACGAAACAAATTGAAATTTCAATATCTATCTTTATTTTGCACCAAATGTGTAATATTAGCCCAGCCTAGAAGCATGTGTATCAAAATTTGGTAAAAATCGGTTCAAATATAGCTATTGCTCCCATTTGTTGCGGCCGATTTATTATTTTAATGCGCTCCTTGACAACGATATTCGGCACGAGATACCACATGCAGCTCTGCCAAATTTTGTCGAGACTGAATCAGATATGGTTATAGCTTCTACCTTCTCTGACATCCGAATTTAGCAAAAACGTCGCATTTGGTGAAAATCGGTTGAGATATAGTTAAAGCCCTCATATATTTGTTTGACCCGATTTGATATTGAAGCCGATTAAATCCTTATAAGCCACTACTTGATAACAACGATTTTCGGTACAAGATATCATCCAAGAATACCTTTAAAAATTCTGTCGAGATTGGTTAAGATTTAGATATAACTTCTACATATATCCATGTGCGATTTTAAGTTCATAGTGTGCCAAATGTGTAATAAAAGCCAAAATGGGATTGTTTCACGCACATTTGCCGAATTTAACCAAACATCAAAGATATCAAATTTTGTAAAATTCAGACATACCAATGTATCCGATTTATATACTTCTTAAGTCTTCTCCAAGTCATGACATGCAATCTATATCAGTGATATTTGGTACGAGAGGTCTCATACCACATCCAATATAAAACCTCCATCAAATTTAGTGGAAATCGATTGCGAATAAAATGTAGCTTCCATATGTTGGTTCCATTCGATTCCAAATATATACCACTGTAAAGCCATAATACGCAATTAAAAATTAAATTGCCATTAAGGAAATCGATTAAGAATATAGCTTCCATATATTGGTTCCAACCAGTTTTAAATGTATGTACATCTATGTAAAACTTAAATTGCCAATATAAGAGTTTATTTGTTACAGGTGGCTCTGCTAAATTCTCACTATGGTGTTGGCCATCGTAAAGTCAGCGCCGCCCATCTTTTGTCTTTCCTTACTGGTTTTATTTTTTTCCCATTAAATCTCCCCTTTCACGAGTTGGTAACTCCAATTTCAATTAATTTTCAATTTCCTTCTAACCACCTCTTTAAATGTTTAAGGATTACACTTTTATTCTGAAAAGTATTTCACACATATGTACGTGTGTATCCCTTTCTCTCAGCATGTTTGTGGGTCATTAACATAATGGCACTGTCATTTTAAATGATGTCATGAAAAAAGGACAACAAAACGTTAGAAATATAACTGGAAGTTCTTCAAATGAAGTCATGTGGTTCTATTGTGCAAACATGTAAATGCGATCCCCTTTTTCCGCCACAATGAAAGATTAATTGAAAGTTGAATCAAAAATCATATTCCCAATAACATTTATAATATTTTCCATAATTGCATGGAGGGTGGAGACAAAGTGCACCAATTAGCCCAACTTTTGGAAAAGATTCCATAGATAAATATGATGTGTAAATGATGTACGCTTTTAGAGCATGTAAAACACATAGGAGTCGGGGTCAAACCCAATGATTATTCATTGATTCTGCTCAAATATACAGGATCTGTCACAAATGTTATAAAAACGAACTTCTGAACATATTCTTAAAATTAATTTGCTAGTACAAAACCTTCCGGAAAAACATTTTATTCGATTGGATATCCGGTCACACCACTGGTAAAATTTTTAAGTCCTTTATCGATTGTGTGCAACTGTTTATCACCAATGGCTTCAAGAATATTGTCCTTTAAAGCGTCAATTGTCTCTGGCTTGTCGGCGTAAGACATATCTTTAACGTCACTTCACAAATAATAGTTCAACGATATTCAAAAACAGGGCGAACATTGTTATTTGGATTTTTTTTTTAAGTTTTCGCAAAAATGCCTGCTAGTATCATGTGGGATTCTTTCATTAAATCGAAAGATCTAGGGTATCACATGGTCCTCCCTGCCCGCCTATAACACTTTTTAATTTTTAATGTAGTATTTTGAAATGCATCACACATCTTATATCTTTGATGATTAAGTGTACTTTTTGATTTTGCTGTAAGAAATGTTACAGGGTGAGATGAAAAAACTGCAACCAACTTCAGACTGCTGTCATTTCTAAACCACTCGTCCGACAGCTGTGAAAATTATTCGAATGACAGCTCATTGTATTGTTTACAATCGTACAAAAGCATTTTGGTGAGAATTTTCAGAAAAAAAAATTATTCGTGATGGGATTCAAGCGTGATAGTGTGATTTCTTCATATTTGGCTGGAAAATCTCAAGTGGCTATCGCTAGAGCACTCCAGCATTTAAATGTGAATAAAACTTTTGTGTCTCGTACCATCGCTCGTTACTGAGATACTGGTAGCGTAGCCCGGCGTCAAGGAAGTGGAGCAGAAATGGTTCGAAAAGTAAAGAAGAGACTTGATCGAAACCCGCGTCGCAGTGGCCGAAAAATGGCTCGTAAGCTGAACATACGCAATATTCCATTCGGCAAATATTAAAAAATGAGCTCAGGGTAAAGCCATTGAAATTCCAACAAGTTCAAGACAAGACAAGACTCAAAAGAGCTAAAGAGTTGCTTCACTTGGCCGAAAGTAGTGAACTGCCGAATTTGGTTTTCTCCGATGAGAACATACATTCGTTGTCCAGCAGTTTGTAAACAAACAAAATGATCGTGTTTACTTGCCAAAGAGATTAGCTGAAAATGTGCACCCTCGGTTGGCCACCAGGGAGTGGATTCTTGTTCTATGAAAATTTTAAATGAAAAATATTTCCCTTATAAATTTTTTCATTTGAAATTTCTTTCCTTTATAAAAATTTTCATTTCACTTTTTCACAGAACAAGAATTGAGGCCCAGGTGATGGTGTGGGCCGCGATAACAACCGATGATCGCACTCCGCTCGTATTAATCGACCGTGGCATCAGAATACATGCCGAATATTGTCGTGAAAATATTCTGGAGGGTGTATTAAAGTCTTGGGCACGCAAAAATTTTGAACGCAGACCTTGGACATTCCAACGGAACTAAGCACCATCGCACTCAGCACGCGCCCAAAAATGGTTACAAAATGAGGGTCCTCGCTTCATTTCCAGCTCACAGTGGCTACCAAAATATCCGGATACCCATCCGTTAGACTATTTTGTTTATTTTGGAAAGCAATGTTGGCACTTAAATATACCAAAGTGTCGATCACCTCAAGCAAGCGCTTCGCCGGGAATGGACCGAAATACCGCAGAGCAACATTTGGGCAGCGTGTGACTGTTTCATTGGCCATAATTCGTGCCAGAGGAGACCAATTCGAACAAATCTAAACTTATTCTAAAATTTGATGCTATTTCCGACATTTTTTGCTTTCATTCAATAAAATTTTAAAAAATAATGTAAAAATTATGGCGTTTGACTTTGTTGCAGTTTTTTTTTTTTCTTTTTATCTCACCCTGTACATACGTAGATCGACTCAGCTCGGTGAAATAGGAAAATCCATGTATATTATTCTATGTCCAATATTTTTAGGTATTACATATTGCTTGGCCCAATCAAGCTTATAATACCCCCAGCACAAAGTGATGTAGGGTATTAATATATCGGAGCAATAGATATATGGGAACCGATTTTCATCAAATGTCTTTTAAGATAAATTTGGTTAAATCGTATAAAGATATATATGGGGGCTAAATTTAAATCTCAACCGATCGTTATAAAATTTGGCATAAGTATTACTGCACTGTAGAGCTAGCTCTAGCTCATTGTAATACCCTACACCATATGTGGTAAGGCTATTATTGCTGTGCAAACAATATTTGTTTGTCCAAGCACGAATCGGTGAGAATCGGTTGAAATCGAGATATAGCTCTTTAAAACCATTGTATATAATAATAAAGAATTTATATATTTATTGGTATTCCAGCAACTTAAACCATATTTAGTTACGATGTATCGACTTGTGCTTGTCACTGTATACAGATACCCGGCTCTATACAATAGGCTCTATTGAAGCTCCTGTCGTGATCTGTTCTAAATGTATTTTGATGATGTGTCTCGTGTCCCTTTTCGCTACACTCTTATTAGTTTTTAGAACAATCTGTTGATATGGATTTTTCAAGTAATAGCAAGTAGCTTAAATATTTTCTTGAAGTACACACACTACTTTATTCCATTGTTATCTTTCGTAATCACTAAAACAATGAGAAATAGATGATAGGGTTTTGCTTTACAAGAAAAAAATATCTAAAACTCGTATTAATTACACATTACATACATATGTTCACATTCATATAATGCATATGATTTCTCAGTTTACTCTCTTCATAAATATAAATCTTGTTCCTATTTTCCTCCTTCTTCTTTCCATCCTGCTGTCGACAAAACTTTCATCCGCTTCTACCAAATTTCAGATATGCTGCCTCCTTGGATTCCTGTGCATTGTTTGTAGTTCGGTGCAGTTGCACAATTTTCGTGGATGTTTCTACAATGTAATCGTTGGACTGTCATTTCTGTTTTCCGGATGTATGCTGCTCGCTCGTCTTTTCCAAGTGTGGCAGCGAAAATTCTTAACATTTAATGCCGTCAAATATGAATTGTACGTGAATGTCGTTTTGGCGTGCTGTTGCTTTATTGGCGGCTGCGTTAGCATCTCGTTGGATGTCGTAGCTTATACAGTGGCCACAGTAAGTATACTACAAATGGTGGCATATTTGGAAATTTATTATAAACACAATTATTTTAATTTTTTTTTATATTTTTAATGTCTTTTTACCATTCCAGTTCTTTATATTCCTCGCATTTAGCTTTTATACATTCGATGCCTATTTGTGTTATCGCATCTATCGCCAGTGCGATGCCCAAACACAGACTCAGACTCAAATCCCAACTCAACCCCAAATGGCTTAGCTTAACCCAAAAAAAAAAAAAAAAAAAAAAAAAAACTGAAATGTTTATTTTCTAAATTATTATTTATCAATTTGTTGTTGTTTATTTTATCGTATCGTAGAAATTATGTATGTATGAATGCGTGACATATTGTATTTTATTGTTGTGATTAAAAATTTATAGCGTAAATTATGTTTAATTGTAAGAAGTCAAGTGTTAATAAAGTGCACAAACAATTTGATAATAGTAATAATAAGTTATTTATTAAATAAACATCGATCCTATCAGCAGTAGGTTTTGTCCGGTTGTTGAACCTATTATTACAGGATAGAGTATATAAATTTATGTGTATACGATAACCCAATAAATTATAACAATTTGTATAAATTATGATTGGATTTTGTTTGAGTAAGTGAGAGCGAATGGCTAACGCACATTTGTGTTACTTAGAGATCACACTATTGGGAAATTTTTCTCAGTAAAAGTTTGTTAGTCAAATCAGCAGATTTTTATGCCCTACAATTTTTATACTCGCAATTTTTGAAGACAGATGTATACCCTTAGCCTATGTTCTATTATTTAAATCTATTTTGGCTTGTGTTATGATTAATATGATATAAATGTTGCGACGTGCCAGGTATGGACATCTAATACAAATAAAATCATAAATTCCGCTAAATTTCATATTAATATCAGGTTTCTGGTTGAGAGAAATATTTAGACATAGCAAGTTGTAAAGAATCGCTGACTAGTTTCGCAATTTATGATAGATAAAAGTATTGGAAATTATGACTCTTTGTGGTATATTTAGATGTGTTGGATGCTTATTTCGCTTTCTTCCTCAGCGTTTTGTTTTTCAAAATATTGAACCCTATGTGGGACATGTTCCAGAAGAAATGGTCCGATCTCTACAATCTTTATAACAGATCTTGTGTTTGTAGAAATAATGGGATGTGTGAAGTTTAAAGAGATCCTGATGCTTATTTCGGATTTTATAAATGTTTTGGTTACTCAAAACTTTGACCCTTTGTGGGGGAGGTACCAAAAGGAATGGTCCGATCTCTACAGTCTTAATAACAGATCCTGTGTTGATAGAAATATTCAGATGTGCCAAGTCTAAATGGAATCGGATATTTTCAACCTTTTGTGGGGGAGGTACCAGAGGAGTGGACCGATATATTCCATCTTAACACCAGATCTTGGGTTTTTGAAAATATTGGAATGTGTGAAATTTCAAAACAATCGGATTCTTAAATAAGACTTATGATTATTCAAAATGTTTACCCTTTGTGGGGAGGTGCTTGATGGAGTGGACCATTATTATCCATTTTTGCACCAGACCTAGAATATTAGGATTTGAAAAGTTGGAGAAAACCCGGATTATCGCTTCTTTTTCGGCGCAGATTTTTTTTTTTTTTTTTTGAAAATTTCGAACTTGTGTGGGGGAGGTACCAGAAGGAGTGGACCGATATGTTCCACCGTAGCACCAGACCTTGGGTTAATATAAATATTGGGATGTGTGAAATTTGAAGACAATTGGACTCTTACATTCTCTTTCTGTGCTGAAAATATATTTTTTGAAAATTTCGACCTTTTGTAATGGAGGTACCACAAGTAGTGACCCAATTTTTCCCATCTGCAAACTCGATCAAAGTTTGATAATAATATTACGATGTACCAAATCAGATACTCCGTTCGAGAGTTATCGTGCACACCAGCCAGACAGACAGACGGACGGACGGACAGATCGACTCCAAATATTCTGAAACGGATTTGGTCCAAAGTCTGTCGTGCTGATTGGTATTCAAAACAAATTCACATAAAACAATTTCCAAAGTGCTTGTCCTTAACTCTCTCTTCATACAAAATTCTGTGCCGATTGGTTTTTAATTTTGACCCGTAGAGCGACTGCAAAATCAGGAAAATTTTTAATTTTTTGGTCCATTTGAATCCCTAATTCTATTCTTTCTATTCTGACCCTAACCCTACCTCCACATACAAGGCGAGATAAAAAAAAATTGCAACAAAGTCAAACTCTACAATTTTTACATATTTTTTTTAATTTTATTGAATGAAAGCAAAAAAATGTCGGAAATAGCATCAAATTTCAGAATAAGTTTAAATTTGTTCGAATTAGTCACCTTTGTCACATTATGGCCTTCAAACGGCCAATGAAACCGTCACACGCTGCCCAAATATTGTTCTGCGGTCTTTTGGCCCATTCCCGGCCCGCCGAAGCGTTTGCTTGAGTTGATCGACACTTTGGTATTTTTTAGTGCCAACCTTGCTTTCCAAAATACTCCAGGCACAATAGTCCAACGGATTGATATCCGGAGATTTTGGCGGCCATTGTGCGCTGGAAATGAAGCGAGGAACCTCATTTTGTAACCATTCTTCGGTGGCAACGGAGCGGAGTCCAAGGTTTGCGGCAAAAATGTTTGTGTGCCCAAGGATTTAATACACCCTCCAGAATATTTTCGCGATAATATTCGGCATTTATTCTGATGCTACGGACGATTAATACGAACGGCTGTTATGAGGGCCCACACCATCATCATGGCCAGCGCTTGAGTTCTGGTGGCCAACCGAAGGTGTACATTTTCAGCTGACCTCTTTGGCAAGTAAACACGATCATTTTCACCACTTTCGGCCAAGCGAAGCAACTCTTTAGCTCTTTTGAGTCTATACTCATTCTGTTGCGGTGTAAGTTCTTGCACTTTTTGGAATGTCAATGGCTCATTTTTCAATATTTGCCGAATGGAATATTGAGATATGTTCAGCTCACGGCCAGCCATTTTTCGGCCACTGCGACACGGATTTCGATCAAGTCGCTTCTTTACTTTACGTTTCGAACCATTTCTGCTGACTTTGCTGTTTTCTTCGTCCACTTCTTTGACGTCGGGCTACGCTACCAGTATCTCGGTAACGAGCGATGGTACGAGTCACAAAAGATTTATTCACATTTAAATGCTGGAGGGCTCTAACGATAGCCAGTTGTGGTTTTCCAGCCAAACATAAAGAAATCACATTATCACGCTTGAATTCCATCACGAATAACTTTTTTTTTCTGGAAAATTCTCGCCAAAATGCTTTTGTAAGCTTGTAAACAATACAATGAGCTGTCACTGGAATAATTGTAACAGCTGTCGGAGGAGTGGCTTAGAAATGACAACAGTATTTAGTAGAAATACCAAACTCCTCTGCACAGTGGACGGTGGGTCGTGGACTGTTTAGCCAGGTGGTCCTTGAAATTTTGAGAAGCGTATTGTGCTGTGTAGTCCGTTGTTTTCAAGCTTTCTTCTGTTTATTTAAATTAATTAATATCTATCGAATTTTTGCCGATATCGAATATAGAAATTTTTGCTCATTATGAATACTATTTTTAGAGCCACTACATCCCCATTGCAGTTGAAAAACGTCAGTTTGTTAAACAAGCTACGGTAATTTGGGCCCCATTACTATCACGATGGTGCAGTTGTCTCAATCTATATTGGGGATGAATTGATGAAAATTAGCAGAACATTTATAAAACATATGATACTACCCGGGCACTATGCTGCATTTTCTAAATTGTCCGACCAAACCCGCCAACCCATTACCGAGTTTTCATTGTTTCGTACTATTGAAGTAGCCTGAATTTTAAACATGGAATACAAGATTTTACTGCTTCCGCATGCCTTTCAATAACTTGGATCTTCCAAACCGAAATTTACAAACGAATTTATAAAGAAAATATAAAATTTGCCACCAAAAATTATTTTTTCAATATTTTTAGGAATGCTATGTTAATTACCTTTACTCTACTGAACAAAAAATAAAAACACCCAATTTCATATTTCCAATAAATTTTTAATGTATATTCTCAATAGATTATTTTCAATAAATATATGTTATATGGATGTATACTTCATCATTTTTTTAATAATATGTGTATACTCGTATGTACGCTTGTTACACATCTACTTTAATTCATATAGTTGTTCTTGTTGTTATTTTAAATATGCCAATTTGCTTTAGGGAGACAATCGTACACATCTTTATTTTAACTATCATTAATAATTATTCTTTAAGAAAACTGCCATAAATTTCAGATTGATTTTGTAAGGGTTTGAGTGTTGCTGTGGTTGTTATATTTTTTTATTTATAAACAATCAAACAGGGTTATAAAGAACTTTTGCAATACATTTCTTGCTTTAGTACATTATAAACCAATCCATCTTGTAGGAATTTGTATCAATTTAACACAAATTGAAAGCAATACTCTTTATAACCACGTTCGATTGTTGTTTAAATTGAATTTACTTGTTTATATTAACAAATAGTTTAGCCAAATAGTAGTTTGTGTATAAATAATACCATAAAAATTGTTTAAAAGTTAAAAAACAAATCAACGAAATATCTCTCTTGAGTTTTTAAAAAAAGTCGATGTTAAATAAAGTTTGTATCAAAAACATAAATACAATTGTTTAACAAATTTATCATAGATTTTATTTGATTTAATACAGTAAACCTTCATTTGTAATGAACTTATAATACTTAAAGAAGGAGAATGGGAAAGGTAAATAAATCAAATACAAATTATTTCTAAAAAGGACTTAATTGTTTCGTGACTAAGAGGGTTAATGTTACAATACAAAAGAAGAGATACAAAGGCTTTAGAGATGCAAAGGAAAAAAAACAGCGAAGGGGGGGAAAAGCAAAAATACAAAAAAATATTTTGAAAGTAAAATTGCCATTTGAACAACTTTATAGTCTTTTAAAGCTGTAAATAGAATTGTTGTTGTTGTGGGTTTTAGAACTTCTGACTTCTTTTTATTATATTTTAAATAATCAGAAAGTTCTAGGTTTTGTGTCTATATGGATCTACATCTAAACCTCATCGCTTTGATTCATTTTGAGCTCATTTAGTGTAGCATTAAATCTAGACCATTCATCCCTAGATGGCTGTGCCAAATGATCAGCCACATCGTAAACATGCAGGCGACCACTGTCATCGCCCACACATACATGCTGGCCATTTGGCATCCATGATACACGATTCAATGCCGGTGCATGGTCTACAACAACTGATGCCGTGGGTACTTCGGTGTCTTGATTTAAATTCCATAAATCTAGACGACCGCTACCATCGACAGCAGCAAACAATGCCGGATGAACGGGAGACCATGCTACATCCATAACATAGTCCGAATTGTCTTCAAACGAATACAATGGTTTGTTATCTTTCAATGACCATAGCTTGATTGTCCAATCAATGGATGAGGTAAGGAACAAGTGACTGAAATCGGGCGAGGATTGATTGTAATGTGTTGAAATGCCTGTAACCGGACCGATATGCTTTTCAAATGTTTCATTTACACCAGATCTCAGACCATGACGAGAGGCTGAAAATAGAAAAAAAAAAGGCGGGTATTAATTTTTTGTGGTAAAAAGATGTAAAATAATACACAGAACTATAGCTATTGAAACTATGTGAAAGCGAACAATTTTATATTACTCATTTGAGAAAATTCCATGTAGGAAAAGAAGAATACTAGGTCTTCTATGAGAGCTAGGTCTTCTATGAGAGCTAAGTCTTCTATGAGCCTTCTATGAGAAGACCAATAGGTCTTCTATGAGAAGACCAATTGGTCTTCTATGAGAAGACCAATAAGTCTTCTATGAGAAGACCAATAGGCCTTTTATGAGAAGACCAATAAATCTTCTATGAGAAGACCAATAGGTCCTCTATGAGAGGAAGACCAATAGGTCTTCTATGAGAGGAAGACCAATAGGTCTTCTATGAGAAGACCATTAGGTCTTATATGAGAAGACCATTAGGTCTTCTAAGAGAAGACCATTAGGTCTTCTAAGAGAAGACCATTAGGTCTTCTATGAAAAGACCATTAGGTCCTCTATGAGAAGACCAATTGGTCTTCTATGAGAAGACCAATAGGTCTTCTATGAAAAGACCAATAGGTCTTCTATGAGAAGACCAATAGGTCTTCTATGAGAAGGCCAATTGGTTTTCTATGATTGGTCTTCCATGAGAAGACCTATTAGAAGACCAATAGGTCTTCTATTAGAAGACCAATAGGTCTTCTATGAGAAGACCAATTGGTCTTCTATGAGAAGACCAATAGGTCTTCTATGAGAAGACTAATTGGCCTTTTATGAGAAGACCAATAAATCTTCTATGAGAAGACCAATAGGTCCTCTATGAGAGGAAGACCAATAGGTCTTCTATGAGAGGAGGATCAATAGGTCTCTTCTATGAGAGGAAGACCAATAGGTCTTCTATGAGAGGAAGACCAATAGGTCTTCTATGAGAGGAAGACCAATAGGTCTTCTATGAGAGGAAGACCAATAGATCTTCTATGAGAGGAAGACCAATAGGTCTTCTATGAGAAGACCATTAGGTCTTCTATGAGAAGACCATTAAGTCTTCTATGAGAAGACCATTAAGTCTTCTATGAGAAGACCATTAGGTCTTCTATGAGAAGACCATTAGGTCTTCTATGAGAAGACCATTAGGTCTTCTATGAAAAGACCATTAAATGTCGAAGATTTTTTTAATAATCTTATATCTTACTCTTACATCGAATAATCTATACAACAATTTAAAATTATCATTCAGGTTTACCTCAGACTTTATAATTATTAAACATTTTGTCCGCTTATGGGGTACGAATGGGCCGAAAAATCTCTTATTCACATCTGATCTCTGTTTGAGAGAAATATTTAGATATACCAAGTTTTAAAAGAATCAGTGACTTACTTCGAATGTTACGGCAGATATAATTACTCAAATTTGTAGCATTTTGTAGGAAAGGTAACAGAAGGAAGGACCGATGTATCCATCTCCACACTAGATCTTGCATTGGTATAGGTATTGGAATAAGCCAAGTTTGAAAATAATCGGATGCTATTTTCGCATTTTTAGAGCGTCATAGTTAATCAAAATATTGACCCGCTGTGTGGGGAGGTACCAGAAGGAATGTTCCGATATCTACCATCTTTATAACACACTTGTCTTGATTGAGACAAGTTTGAATGGAATCGGATATTAATTTCGTGTTTTATGAGCTTCTTTGATATTCCAAATTTTGGCCGTCTGTGGAGAGGTACCAGTGGACCGATATGCCCTAACTTCACACCAAATTTTGGGTTAATAAAAATATTGTGATGTGTGAAATTGAAAGACAATCCGACTCTTATTTACATTTGATGAGAATTTTAATTATTCAAAATTGTGACCCTTTTTGTGGGGGAGGTACTTATTGGAGTTGACCGATTTTGTCAATTTTCGCCCGGACCTAGCACTGTTCCAAGGATTTGCAAAGTTGAAGCAAAATCGGATCATCCTTTCTCATTTTGTGCACTAAAATATTTTCTTTGAAATTTTTTACCTTTTGTGGTGCAGGTACCACGAGGAGTGGACTGATATTGTCAATCTCCGAACTCGATCTAAGTTTGACAATAATATTACGATGTACCAAGTTTGGACCAAATCGGATACTCCCTCGAGAGTTATCGTACGCACCAGCCAGCCAGGCCGACGGATGGACATCGCTAGATCTACTCCAAATGTCCTCAAACGGAAATGGTCCAAAGATACCTATGATCTAAAACGTTATTTCGATCAGGCACGTTTTGGCGGTATCAAATGATGTATACCCTTTCTAGCAATATGGCTGAGGGTATAAACAGTCATCTTTTTTAATGTGCTGCTACTTGTTGGTGTCGCTCACTGATGGGCAACATCAATTTTAGGATTTTTCGCAGGCAAAGCTAAATCGACGTTAGCATTTGAAATCCTGGCGGAAATCGATTTCTTTCAAATATAACTTTGGTCTAAAATATGAAATGAACCTCTGTAGCCATAAGGCTGAGGATATTAAAATTCTTTATTACTGATAATAAACTCTGATAATTGCAGAGACAAATGATCTTCTACTTAAATACCAAGTACTTTTCCGTCAAATGTTTGAAGCCCTACTTTAAAAAGAGCAACAGCTGTTCAAGTATAACAGTGGAAAAAAGTTTAGCATCTCTCTTATTCCTTACCTGAATACACATAACCATCTTCGCTGCCCATTACCAAACTATTGATCTCATTTGCCGGAAAGGCCATACATGTAATGGCTATGGCTTTCTTTTGACTCTGTTGAAGTTCCATTGTATCCTGAGGCAATGACAACATATCCAAACTCCACGAACATAATTTACCATCCGATGAAATGGAAATGACATTATGAGCATTTTGTGTTCCGACCATTTGTAGACAATACACGGGATGGGTGTGAGCTGCAGCACTCAGTGGTGTACGTTGTATGGGTGTACGTTTTTGGACACGATTATCCCAGAGAACCACTTGACCGGAATAAGTACCACCCAGAATTAAATTGGGATTGAATTTAGCAAAACATGTTGACATAACTGCACTCTGACAATGGAAAACATCTTCGGGAGTGTGTTTCTTAAATTTAGTATTCCAAACCATAACAACACCATCCGGTTCATTGGGGCTTTCCTGGAGGAGAAGAAATCGTTTTAAAAATCCAACTAATGTAATAGTAAAGAATAATTTACCTCATTGTTGTGATAGGAAGCCACTACCAATTCGGGGAAATGTGAAGACCAATCCATGCATGTAATGCAACGATTTTTCGACCAGCGATCATCATAGAATACACGATTCAACGACAGACGTGCATGCGATTTCTCATCGTTAGCCTCCTCATTATCGCCAATACGAATGTAATCCGTATAAATATCAACATTCTCTGACAAGGCTCTCTCCATAATACGGCCAGCGCGTAATACAAACCTTTGGAAGTCCTCCGACAGGATGATCATTTGTTTCTGTTCCTCTGAAAGTTCCTTGACTGCAAATGCAAGCGATTAATGGTTGATTAGAAGTGATATCCGTAATCAGGCATTAAGTACTCTCTACTTACTCTCTTTCTTTTCCTCTTGCTCCTTCTTTTGTTCCAGGGGCGTAATGGCTGGGGCAACATCCTTTACCGTTGGCAAACCATGCGTCAAATAGCCAGGTGGCAATTTAGAAGTGAAACCGTCCAAATGTGGCAGCGAACTCTCTTCGTCATCTCCTTGGGCATCAAATGCAAGCACTGTTTAAGGTATAAAAACTAACACAGCTAAAGGAACATGACAATCGACAGAACAGGAACAAATTCTACTATACTTTTTTGTAAATTCGTTTTCTTTTTTTTAATTTTCTCATTAGTTTCGTATCCTCGCGCATTGTATTTTTGTATAGATTGAGGCTTTGACAAGTTAAACGTATACGTCATTTTATTCACATTTGTTTAAAGGAGAGAGAGAAAATTACATGTGCACTTTTTGTGTGTGTATGTGTGTCTCTTTGGGAATGCATGTGAAAAACAAACAAAAATAATCATGTTAAAATAAAGCAAATATTACATCAGATGTCATCATACTTTCTTTTGGGACTTAGCAGCAGATTCGAAATCGTATAACAACCTCTGCATTTTGTAACTTCTAATTGGTTCACTTACATATTCTAGTTTTTAACAATTGCTAAGCTTAAGTAGATCGCCCATATACACCAATACGAATATAAAAAGTCGGAGTCGTTTAGCAAGGATATGAACACATGTTTTGACCCAGTTCGAATACACTCGTGATATTTAAGAATCAAAAAAAAAAAAACATATGCGCTTCCGCTATTAATACTGTCTATTAAAAGCATTCCAAAGTAAGCATTTTTAAGACATGAGATAACGTACAAATATTTCATTGCCTCAACTCGATAAATCCTTGTGAACTAAAATTGAACTAAAGTGTGATATTTTAGTTATTATCTTTTTGTAATTAATTGAAAAAGTTCGAAAGGTTAATTTTCAATATTTGTGCTCTTTTGGAAATGTTCATCGCTCGCGTCCCTTATTTTTGGCTCAATGTGTACGTAAATTGTCGATTTTGTAAATATCAGACAGAACCATTGCAAAAACTATTTTTGTAGAGCTTTTATCTGTGTTATCTCCGAAATGTTGGAAAGTGTATGCAAAAATTGGGCTAAGGGGATGGTCCATTTGAGGCGCAGTATCGGTTAACATTTGCATGAAATAATCTTTAAACATTAAATTATGTAGGTCGACTATCAATTCATGTATTTTTCTAAATTTTACTTGTTTACCCTCTAGATTAAAAATGGTGACGATTTAAACAGGCAGTAATCGAAAATTGCCGAACGGAATTGGGATTTATGCTGATCAAAACATTTACACCCCATGAGGCCTAGACTAAAACCTTGAAGTATTGCAAATGAAAAATCTAATGTAACCCTACCGTCATATAGGCATTAACTAATGAATATATAAACGAGGCCTAGACTAAAACCTTGAAGTATTGCAAATGAAAAATCTAATGTAACCCTACCGTCATATAGGCATTAACTAATGAATATATGAACGAAGGAATGCTCTCACCGCTTATCATTGAACAAATTCGGGTTAATATATGTCGTGATGTAGACTTTGTCTATGTGTCGTTTCAAGTGTAAATCTAAAAAATACTAGAATTATATACAACTGTGAGTTATTTATGAGCTGAAGACAATGCATTGCAATAGAAAAACCACTGATCTTTATTTTGATCCTGATTTCGTAAAGTTATATTGTCTGAAATCGGAAATATAGCAAAATAAAAATACATGAATCTAATTTTTTTAATGTTCTGAATTTCCACAAGCACAACCGAGGGCAAATGTTGGAATGGAGTAATGGAATTTATTACATAGTTTGTAGCCGCTCAAGACCAATTTTGATATTAAAACGATCTTTTTAGTAGTCCAATTAGGTATGCCTACAGGATGAGATGAAAAAACTGCAAACAACTTCAGACTGCTGTCATTTCTAAGTCACTCGTCCGACAGCTGTTTAAATTATTCCAATGACAGTTCATTATATTGTTTTCAAGCGTACAAAAGCATTTTGGTGAGAATTTTCCAGAAAAAAAAGTTATTCGTGATGGAGCAAATGCAGAAATGGTTCGAAAAGTAAAGAAGCGACTTGATCGAAACCCGCGCAAACATTGAAAACATTGAAAAATGAGCTCGTAGAGTCATTGAAATTCCAAAAAGTGTACGAACTTACACCGCAACAGAAAGAAAATAGACTCAAAAGAGCTAAAGAGTTGCTTCGCTTGGCCGAAAGTGGTGAACTGCCGAATTTGATTTTCTCCGTTGAGAAAACATTCGTTGTCCAGCTGTTTGTAAACAAACAAAATGATCGTGTTTACTTGCCAAAAAGGTCAGTTGAAAATGTGCACCTTCAGTGACCCCAGAACTCGAGCGACGGCCATGGTGATGGTGTCGACCGCCATAACAGCCGATGGTCACTCTCCGCTCGTATTAATCGACCGTGGCATCAGATTAAATGCCGAATATTATCGGAAAAATATTTTGGAAGCTGTATTAAAGCCTTGGGAACGCAAATATTTTGGCCGCAAACCTTGGACATTAATTTGTTGCTAATTTCGAAAAGAATCTAGTTGCTGCGATTTATATTTTGTTATAAAAGCCATACGTGCCAGTTTTAAGTTTTTTTTTTATACCCTACAACACTATGTGTTGGGGTATTATAAGTTTGATTGGGGGAAAAATTATGTAACACCTCGAAATATTGGTTTCCCACATAGGAAAGTATATATGGATCTTCCTAGCTCGCCGAGCTGAGTCGATCTAGCTATGTATGTCCGTCCGTCCGTCTGTCCATGTTAATTTGTAATCACTCTACAGGTCGCAATTATGACCCGATCTTCACGAAATTTATAATGTAGGTGGGGTTTAGGTCAGAATAGAACCCTATTTTTTTGGAGATGATCGCATAATATTTAGGGGTTGAAATGGACCAAAAACTGAAAAATTTCATGATTTTGCATTTGCTCTACAGGTCACAATTATAGACCAATCGAAGCGAAAGTTAGCATGGAGCTAGAGCTTTGAGCTGGGCTGAAACACTCCAATTTTGATGCTCATCGGGTAATATTTAGTGGGTGAAATGGGCCACAACATTTGTGTTAAATAAAAGTAAAATTTTCCTTTAAACCGCGAATATTTTTGATCCCGTCGAAATTACAAATAGACGAACAGTTCAATTCTGACCGTTACGTAAATGCCGATAGTAAAAATATCGGATATATAGCGAAATATATACAATGTATATATTCAAAGGAAGGGGATGTTAGTTAGAATGCTTATATCTCCAGAATGGCTGGGGCGATTTTTACAAATTTTGTCAATTTAGAATGCCCTTTTGGCATAAAAGTATAAAATCTAAAAAAAATCGCATAAAAAGATGCCAATAATGATATTCATATGCATTTTGTAGTATTTTGTGACATATTTGTATTTTTCATTTTTTTATCGCATGCGATTTTTTCAATTTGACTTATAATAATGAAGTGTATATTTTTTAATATTTTTTCACTTTATAACACAAGTTGGGGTTATTATTTATATACAGATTGCAATTATCGTTCGATACCCACGAAATTTTTCACAAAGGTAGAATTAGGCTCAGAATGGCTAATCCTATTGGTTTCAAAGATGTCCGCAATATATTTAGGGGTTGAAATGGACCAGCAACTCAAAATGTTCCTGCTTTTGTAGCCGAAATAGAAACCTCTTGCAGCCGAAATAGAATCTCGTATGAAGTTAGTTATATAGTTATATTTTAGTGTTGTAGGGTATCACATGGTCGGCCCCGCACGACTATAGCCTTTGCTTACTTGTTTCATTATGCTATTGTTGTAACAATAACATTGAAATTGTTCAAAATCATTGAATTCTGGCTCTTGAGCGGTTGAGCTTATAAATATAAATGGATTTCCACATTAAAGGCTAGATTCCACATCGTGTTACTGTCATATGTAAAGTGATTTTGTAACATTTTGTGATTACCAATTTTGAACCACCGATTTTTGAAATGTATACTGTAGAATGCTATATAATATTATTTATAACTAATTAATGAGATTTAATTTTGACAAAATTTGGTGAAGGTAAAACATAGAGTGCATAAACATACATATAAGAGGAATATCTAAATTTATTTTCATTAAATTTCCTAAATAGACTTCTACGCAGATTTCGGTTGCATGTGAAAAGATCTATTTGATTTGGTCCTACATTATGCCTTTAGTGCACAATTAACATGAAATCGGCGGAAGATATCGAAAGCTCAAGTCTATACAACATTAAAACATATTTTCGTCAGAAACCGACAGAGATGTTGAAAAAAGCATGCCAAAATTGGACTAAACGGGCGACATTTGCATTAAATTATCATCAAAAATTATATTATATCAATCGTTTCTCATTTTTTTCGTTTTTTTATGAAACCCTGAGCCAGTTGCAGTGATTTGAACCAAGTTTAGCAATATTTTTGTCCAATATAATTGTATATACAAAACATTTGTAACATACGCCTCGATTTGCACATAATTTAATACTAAAGTACCTGTTCCATTCAAGTTTAATGGACCAGACATTTTGATCAAAACTTAATCAATTAAGCACAAGGGTCAAGCATGGTGCATAGGTGTATGTACCACAATGTTAAAACAATTGAATACTTTGTACTGGACAATGGGAATGAGCTAGAATTCTTAATTTTTGTGAATATGTGAACGGATAGAGCTAGAAACTTGAAATTTGATATAAGAATCAAGATTCGAAAGTAAGTGTGCGAAATGTACTAAATGGTACTCGAAACGTGTGAAAAGATGAAGTTTCAATTTTGAAATTTTGTACTGGGGATCCTGTTGGTGGTAAGTTTGAGAAACAAAGATGTGTAATTACTAAATAATATTATATGGAGGGCTCACTGCTATACCGAACCAAGTCATGAAAAATAAAAAATGCTGAAATTAGTGCCAATGTCCCCGTATATGGAAACTCTGTTTACCCTGTAAAGCACAATGTCACAAAGTGTTTCGTTCCAAAGTTGACGGTAAAAAACCTAAGTCAACGACTGTTATTTTCGACTTTTTTTAAAGCAAAAATGAACCAAGTCAGTGTGTTTTACTTTGAATCAGTACTATTAGTGAGCACGTGTTTATTGTC